ATATATATATATATAGCCGGTGCTTTTTTTTTTGTGCTTATGTTGAGTTCTCTTTTTAAATCGTGATACTATTTTTAAATTCAAATATCAATTAATGTACGAAAAACACTTTCAAACTTCATTTTACTAACTCCAGATAGTAAATCTTGAGCAACAACGGAACAGGGGAGACAAGAAAATGGAACGAGAGTGCAGATGGTCTGATGTCGCTAGAGAGGCCGGTGCTGGAGCACAAGAAGAACAAATTTGGTATAAGATAAAATCTCATCAATTATTGTGATCACTTTGGAATGAACACGAGAAAGAAAAATAGAAAGAGATTTAAAAAAAAAAAAGGAAGAAAAGAAATGACTGAACTGAGGGATTCTACAGGCTTAGTGAAGATCGCATTGACTTGTAAGCAACAGATGATGATAACGAATAGCTATTATGGACGGTTATGGCTTTTAGGGGGAGTTGAGATTTATTTCTCCGGTGGTGGGCTTCCAGCAAGCCAACCCCATAATCCACCCGAATCTTGCCTCTGCTTAGCACTCAGAGCTTCCTGTTCAGAAGCTGCCTTCTGCCGTCGAAGCAACTCAACTTCCTTCTCTAGCGCTTCCATCGCTTGTAACTTCTGTCGTAGTTCTGCGACATCAACCTGTCGGCAATAATATTCCAACCATTAGGTACTTGCAGCCTTTGTAGACTTAACACTCCCGAATGAAATATTATAGTTTACAATGCAGTCACAAAAGAGAGAAGCAATGTATTTCATATGTATGGATTTCAGTTAACAAGTAGAACACATAAAAAAGGAAAAAACAAGACTACAACATCAACTATTTTGCACAGTATATAGTGGAAGAAATGGTTTCCAAAAGGGAAAGAAGAAAAAGAAACTTCCATCTTATGTTTCCTTGAGCTGTAAAAGATAACACTAACATAAATTTTCTTTAATTCAATGGATTACTCAAAACTAATTGCACCTTGTGTCCTAAGTGTCGATGGTACCACAGAAGTAATCTGTCTGCTTGCTGAAGTAGACTCATGCACTCGTGCCTTCTATTACACATCTAGATCCCTTGACATGTAATCCTTCATCAAATACATCAATCACATGGATCTCAATATCAAGTTTGACCCCATGATGCGTACCAAGTATTACTGGTATAACTTCATCTACATGCAAATATCCAATATACTGATGCAGGCCCAAAAAAATCTTAATTTAATACCATGTCCTTGGTTTAAACCAATGTCACAATAGATGAGTCACCTGCACAGCAAACAAGCCCTAGAGCACATCTCTGATTTGTCACCTGCACCATCATAATGACACATACCTACATATTTAAAGATTTGCAATATGTATATTCAAATATGAATACCAAATATTTCTACATGTGCAGTACACACATCTATTGTTGTTTGAGCTAAGATACTCTGTAGGAGTCATTTTTTTTAAACTAATTGCTTCTATTAACGAGGATTGTTCTTGAAAATAGTGATTTAAAAAGCGCTAGGCGCCAAAAGGCACTAAGGTCCCAAAACACTTGAGGCACTCGCTCAAACGAAACAAGACACTCTAAAATATTAAAATATAAAAAATATATAATATAATTAACAAAGGGATAAAATATATCACCAACAATGGAAAGTGGGAAGAGAAGTAACGGTGAGAAGTTGGCAGTAGCAGCGGTGGAGGATTAGTCTAAGATAGTTGTGGCAGTGTTGTGAACGACAATAGCAACAACGGCGGAAGCAGCAGACAACAGTTGCAGCAGAAGCAGTGGGAGAAAGATCGGTGACAAAGGAAGACTCGATCAGCGATAGAGGAAGATTGTGTCAGAGGCAGCAGGAGAAAACGCTACGGTTGGCTCAGGGTCGTGCGAGCGTGAAGGGCAACTTTTGAGGTAAGAAACTGCGTTAGTTGGTTCAATCAAACCAACTAATTACTATTGAACCGAACTAGACTTAAAAGTCTGGTTTGATTACCTTATATGAACCGGGCGCTCGCTCGAAGCGCTCGGTAGCTAGGCTCGGGCAAGCGCCCAAGCAGCGCCTCATTGAAGGGCGCCGCCTGGTCCACACATGAGCTGCTGGGGCCTCGCCTCACCCGAGCGCCTATTTAAATCACTGCTTGAAAATGCCTCCAAATTGTATTGTCATTGCTATGGAAATTTCGAGGAATATTGAAATGCTAATTTCTCATGAACAGTATTTAACTTCTACAACACAAAATGTTCTGGATGACCCAAAAGATAATTGGGACGATTGCACTAAAAGTTTGCCACTTGGGCTATCACATAGGCATCTTTTGCCTGGCTATAGGATTGGTCCATTGCCTAGGCTGTTTCACAACTATGGTTTGAACAAAAAAAATGATGGATGATTGTTCATAGGACTTCATTGCTTGACTATTGCTTCATTGCCTTCATTGCAGTCTGTGCATTTGCCTTGGTGTCATTCTTTGCTATGGCTTTACTTTAACAGGCTGTTGATTCATCCTATTGATCAACAATGCCAACATAACCTTTGTTCGTTGTTCAGCTATTTATTGTATGCATAAATTTATCTAAGGCATAAATTTTCGATCTTATGAACTCATGTTCCCCACCCCCCCCCCCACCCGCCCAACCCCCGATCTGCCATATATATTCAAAATAACAATCATCTTATCTCAGCTTCTGTACTCAATAGCAATGCAAAAAATATTATCTTTTTATCATTTTAAACATGGCAATAATGAAATCAAATCAAGGATTTGAAGCAGGTAAGAATTCTTAATAAGCATCTGCTCCAAAATTATGTTTTAGAGATTGGTTTTTAAAGGATTCACTGGTTGCCATCCTAACATAGAAAACAAAGAAAATATACAGCTTATGTACAAAAATCTAGAAAGAAATCATACATTACTAGTCCATATTCCAAAGAATACAAAGAGTCAATTACAAACAAGGAACAAGTAGTAAAAAAAAATCTAGATAAGAAAGAGGATGCAAGTAGGTAAATCTGGTCAACTGAAGTCGTATCTTTAGTTTATCTTTTTTAGGAGCAAGAAATAAATTTTTAAGTGAAGTAACCAAAGCATAGGTAAATATTGAAGATGTTAAAGCAAGGTTTAAGAGTAACGGTGAGAATACAATATCTACATAAAGAAAGAATACTAGAGAAGCTAAACATCATTCTTTTAAATTCATGGAAATTTTCAAGGTGTTTAAACAAAAAAAGGAACTCCTACAAAGGGCTTAGACATTATCTGGATTCTTAAATGCATAAACTATAGTTACTTATTCACTAATCATATGATCCAAGATAGACTCCTAAGATGGAGATAATAATTCCAATCACATTCACTATTCTAAAATTTTCAACGAAGTGAATGCAAGTACAATAACAAGAAATTTAAATCCCTAATCTATTATCATTTACCACAATTGTACATCATGATGGTTTATAGCTTGAAGCAATATATTTGCAAGTTATCATGCAAATACATTGACTAACACCACAAACTGCTGCCTATGCATTTTGAAGATATTACTTCCTCGAAGTTGATAAAATTTAAGATGTGCATGTGCATACCAATTCTAGATGTGATTTACCACTTAGCTCATGCAAGTGTGATAGGTTAAGGCAAAAGTGTGATAGGTTCTGGAACTTACAAAGGAACAAAAGTGGATCAAAACATCCAAACTGATAAGTTATCAGTTAATTCGCATGCATACCTCAAGTTTAAAGCACCTTGACTGTTCAGCAGCAAGCTGACTACGAACGGACTGAAGCTCCTGCATAGTCCAGAAATAATATATAATTTATTTATGCTAATCATTTTATCTTCAGATAAATATCTATTTTGATAAAGAACAGATATGAAGCTTGCCTTTGTGAGTTCAGTGTTTCTAGACTCAGCTTCAGCTAGCTCTTGCTTAATTTGGAGATTCTGCAATTGCTCTTTGTTAAATGTTGATTCTAGTTCTTCTTTCTCTGCCTTCAGGCTTTCCACAATTCTTTCTATTGTTTCTTCATTTCTAATATTCTGAAAAGTTCAAGGGAAGTTAGACGATAACTATGTTGAAAACATCATATAAAAGAGAAATTAATAAAAATCTTATTTCACAATTCTAAATGACTTTCAAAATTTATTATTCACCCAGAAAACAGTTATACATACAATGCTACCAGCCTACCACTATATATGAAAATAATTTAGCTATGCTATAAATTTGATTAAGGAATCCAGCAAGGAATGGAAAACAATTTAGCTATTCTATAAATTTGGCAATTAGTTTCAGTTTTTATGTATAAGCTGATGCTAATCAATTAAAAAGTTCACAGAGAGGAAACTTTTCATGTTACATCCCTACCAGCTCTGAATCACCATTGTCCATCTCAATTTCCTTTATCTTTTTATCTTGAGCTCCTTCAATCTCAGGTTCCATGTCCCTACTTGTATTTGTTGTTGGAAGCACTGCAGCAATGGTGTCTGACACAGGCCCATCTATCATCCTCGACTGCAGATCTGAGATGTGGCTTGGTTTAAGAACATAGACCTAACCAACCAGAAAATTTGCATGAATACAACTCAAGCAGCCAAAACACCAGAATAGACAAAACAAACATAAATTGAAACTTAGGTTTACCTCATTGCTATAACGCCCATTATAACCTCCAAATGACACAAGAAAATCTTCTCCCTTGTAGGTGCTTGTTACCAAGCTTAAACCCTAAAAATGTAACTCTCAACATTAGTAATTTCCTCTTCAGAAACATTCACTACTGTAATCATGTACAACAGGATGCCTTTCTACATTTAAATTTATAAAAAAAAGAAGAAACAGTTCCTCTTCTCAGTCATATGATGCTAACTGACAAATAAAGTGAGCTCACAGTTAATGAGTTCCTATAATCATTTGCATTCGCTGAACATATAATTTTTAGTCAATCATAAGGTGCAACCATTCAGTAAGTAAAGACAGTGAACATATTGTGCAAAACCTTATTCCAGAAAAGCTCATTCATGATTAAACTATTATATATCAGAATTTCCACTGCTATAATAAAATAACAGTATTGTTGCAGTTCCATCAACTAATAAGAGTTATATCAGAGGTCACTGCAATTTATTATTGACTTGTTTAGCAAGTTCATTTTTTTCGCTTTCCTCTTTGGTATGCTTCAATAACCTCAGTGGAGAAATTAAACAGTTGACATCCAATTACAAACATCGAGAGTTGATTAACAGATATAAACATCTCACTAAAATTAGTTCCTACACTATTCCACAAGAGAATAAAAAATTAAACCATACTTTGTCTAATTAATAATAATTTTATTGCATTTCTTATATGACATGATATCCTTCAGTTTGTTTGATCATAATCCAGAAGGTTATCAATTCTAGGAAGTCATAGTAAAATGCAATCAATAAATAAAATTTACATGCTTAGGCGGTTAGGCCATTTTAAACAACAAATTATTGACAATTGATGCTCCAGAATATCTCCATAAAATACATTCACTAAAAATATATAAAATAAAATAAATTTTTATGCATGTTATCAGACATTGTTTACCTTAATCAATACATGCATTTTTTATCTTATCTTTGTTCTCACCCATTATGAAGTATAAGCAAATCTAATTAATCACCAAAGTTACATATGGTCATGATATATACTGTTATAGCATTGCATGGATTGTGTCTGTCATATTTTTGCATTTATCTCATACAGCTATTAGTAACAACAAAGTTAACGTTAAGTTGGAAGCAGTTTTTATTATCATCTAGATATGAATTTCAGAGCCACAAACGTGTAGCATCTATCAACCCTATGAAAACTGACTAGCCAAAAAGATGAGTGTACCTCACTAGCAAGGGGCACACGTCCTTGAACAGTGGTGACAACTGACCAGACTAATGTGGCCATATTCAGAACAAGTGTCTCAGAGATCCCTGGAAAAAGAAGGCATGAGCTCTAAATTTAGAAGAATAGAAAAAAGAAAACCCACAATCTTTCTACTTCAAAAGTGAACATTATTCTATCATTCACTTAAATATACAATCAGTGAAAATCCATTCAATCAAACAACAACATGGTGTTAAGTTGTTAACAGTCATGATTTTTTGCATTCATAATGTAAAATAATGTAATGTATTAAATCCATAATTGTACACAACAGGAAGAAAAACCAAAAAAGAAAATAATGACCAAATTCTAGTCAAATTAATGCTTCAAAGTTCAGTGTTAGAAAGCAAAATTAAATAATGACCAAAATATGCTTATCCGGACCAGAATCAGGATTCCATGTAGACAATTCATTTTAAAGTTCAGTGTTAGAAAGAAAAATTAGATAAACTGACAGAGCTAAATAGGTACATCCAGTTTGATACGATTTATTTGGTCAATGTTGCAAACATTCAGTTTCTCATTAACAAGACCAAACCAACCAAATCACTCATTAGAAAGTAGATTAAATCAGACTGAACAACCTGGCACTCTTTATGATGCTTTCGTCTTTGATATTTTCATACTCAAATAATTATTTAGAATTAGCCTTTCTATTTTCCAAAACCTTTTGACTACCTTATTCATGACTTTAGCTTCATTCACCATATTGCTTTATCTAATTATAACTATGTAGCATGTTGTTTGAAGTTTGAACTGGAGCTTCAGAAAGAAAGTTCATATGCCAACTAGATCGGAAACAAAGTCTTGGATAGAGCAAGCGTGCACAACCTATCACTTCAAGAATGTTCGTTTTAAAAACAAATAAAGGCATGATATAGGAAACAAAATAGAAGTTTTACAAACATACCATTCATATTATTACCACCTCCAGCAATGAACCAGTTTTCCCCCACGGTTACACCAGCATGGCCAGCTCGTGGGCCGGGAGTCACACCCTGCTGCTTTGGTCTTGACCATTCCATCTGCAAAAGGTCAAATTAAAAAATAAATGTTAACAAAGATTTTAACCCATTATCTTTGTGTCATAACATCTAAAAAAAGAAGTTGCTCTTACAGTCTGCAAGTCAAGGACATGAAGATCATTAAAGCATGTGGCATGAGATCCACCACCAAAAATTAAAAGGTACCGATCTGCATGGCAAGCAGCAGCATGGTCCGATCTTGGGGCCGGAGGTGTACCACTAAAACACAATAAAGAGAGAATTAACAGAGAAACATTTAATTGGATTGTTCATAATCACATAATTACGATGGTAATCTAATAGAACAAAATTCACAAGACAGCTTTGTGCTTAAAAGAGATGAACATTGAACAGACCTAATGTTAGCATTAAGAGTTCAAAACTTAGAATGAGAGAACAATATCATGAAATGTGATTGTGTGTATCTTGAAGCATTCCTCCTTTCCAAACTTAAAAACTGGTGAGTTATATGATGAAGTCACATCTAACTAAATGTTTCCTATACCAATGAACTTGTGTAAAGATCTCACGATGTCTGTCAAATGCACGTAAATTACATGTTTCCACACGGAGAAAAACTATTACCACTACCAAGTAATTTAGGTCTACAAATTTCTTACTAATAGTCATTAATCAATGCCTTCACTAGAAGTTACATGTCAGAAGACAAGTCAAAACTATTCTCAGTGAAGCAGAATGCTATATTAAATACAGTCAGCAAGATATGGTGTACTATATGATGAAGGCAATTAATGAAGGTCTTAACAAGCAAAGAATGACCTTCAGATGTTCCCTGCATGCACATCATTTTTATAAAGATTCTGGAAAAGGTTAAGAATCACAAAAGATTTAAGTACATCAATTAGATTCATTAAATATCAATCATAGTGACTTGGTGAGGATCTGGTTCACACATTACAAGAAAAAGAAAATCACACATGATATCCCTAAGGTCTCAAGAGTTAACTAGGAGTATGGTTGGTGTATTGGAGGTCTTCAGAGAGACATAAAGATAGTCATTAATTTAAATACTATCAAGATAGATGCCAGATTAAAAGGCATCTCAATTGATATATAAACAAAGATAAGATTGTCTACTGTAGCTGCCAATAACAGGTATGAACCATGAGTTTGGTACACATTGTGCACACAGTGTCTTTACATCCTGTATACTGATACAACAAACACACTGGCATCCAGGCACTTCAATACATGTATGGAACTTAAAAAGAACCCCACTGATTTCATTAATAGTTGCCCTTTTAACATGATTTACGAATTTTAGTGATAATGAATACATAAGCAACACAATCTCTTATATGTAACTGTATACATAAGGTGAAAGAAGCAACAATACGTCAACTTTGCAGATTACTTGAATACATCAGGAATTAAAAGCAAATGAGAAATACATTCATGAACTTTAAATATATGTCAAAAGAAATTATATATGTATATATGCACAAATAGTTGAAGTAGTACTTCTGTAAAACTAGCTCAAAAGAACTTGCAACTAGTGTTGGAGCTAAGATTATTTTACAAAGGGAAAAGAAACAAGCACTTAATAGGGAAAACAACTTCGGGCAAGTATGCACATAAAAAAAAATTAAAGAAAGACTAAGTTCCAGATGCTCGTAATGCAGGGAATTTAAATATTACAATAGAATTTTGTTGTCTATGTGAACACCAAACAATTAAAATGTCAAAACTACTGCTATATATATATTGTACACCAACGAAATCATAGCATGACACAAAGGTGCATGTCTTTTGTGGTGCCTTGCTAGTGGAAATTGATGTAACATGCATCATGCTAGTTCAAGGCATTGATGAGCATGCATCCATCTTTTACCTAGCAGAGTCACAGGCCTTAACTTGAACCTGGTACAAGCTGACGCAAGCACAACATGGTTCAACATTCAAAGTTCATACATGATTAAACATGCTAGGCACATAAAACATTCTTATAAACAATTGAATTTCCTATTCAAAATGAATTACAACCCTTATTTGTTACAGTCATAAATTAAAGATAATGATGAAACACTGATGACTTTGATTAGTAGTTGCCAGCAATGATGAATATATTAAGTATATATATATGAGAATGAAAATAGTCGGATTTCATGTTCATGCAAGTTTTCTACTTTTTTCTTTTGTTTTAACATGCATACAAAAATGAAGAGTTAACTCTGGAAAGGCCATGGGATCAAGTTAAGGAGGAAAAGGAAGGTAAAGTTGGAAGTCTTTTCACCCATTAAATGTATGCTTTTAGCTGATTCATGTAGAACACTTTATTAAGTACACTTTTGTAATCTTATCATATTTGTGCAAAGATCTTTCACTTCTGCGTATTTTCATGTCAGATCCAAGAATAGCATGTCTTGTTCTAACTTCTAACTACTCCTGAAAGATCAGAAATATCCACCTATCGGATTCTACTGAGGGTAGATAATTATCTAACCAAAAGTTATTTGCAGATGAAGGCATTCTGATTTGCACTGTACTTATCAAAATGCCCAAACTGAGCATGCCATTGTCTCCATTAAAGACCTTGTAGACATAAAGTACATTAAAATGATGAAGATAGGTCCAGAATGAAAAGCCAATAGCTCATTTTCCCCCTCACAACTTCTAGCTAGGTTTATCTGATGACCATTCACCAATCACACCCACGTAGAATTAAGTAATTGTCAGGTTCTTTAAATGATATATTTTTAAGGTGTATAAAATGTGGCCTACTGGGAACTTGAATTTATTTTACCAATGTGTCAAAAAAGAAACTGAATTATTAATAAAAGAAAAGTAACTCTTACATGGCATCAATATCATCCCAGGTCATAGTTTCCAAGTCAAGAATGTGCAAGTCATTTAGAAGAGATCTCTTAGCATCTTCGCCTCCAAATATAACCAAAGTGTTCCCAACAAGGGTGACCGATTGGCCTCCTCGAGAAATCTACAAGAGAAAGAAGATTAAAAATGAAATGTAGGCAATGATAGCTAGGTTTCAAAAAAACTGGATGTTTAAATTAGAAAAACCAAATAATCCTAACAATAATTAATTCCTTAACCTGTCCAATCCTATTTTATCAAAATCTTATTTCGCATCCATAACATAATGAAAAAAAATGTAACAAACTAATCATCAGATGCTTGCAAGGCAAGTTTTACCACAATTAGAAAAATAGTAATTGAAAGAAAAAGGCCAATGGTAATATATTCCATGGCAAACAGTTGCTCCTTCCTCAAACTATAAGTTATTTAAAGTTTCAGTTTTTGTAAACATAAAAGTTCAAAATTTCAAAACAAATCGACTTCAAGAAGATTAGAACACAAACAAGCTTCATGAGATCTAATGGTCTAGAATATATGCTGAACACAGATCGAATAAAACTTACCGGTGGTTTCCCATATGTCTTTAAGTTCGACCAGAGACAAGTTTGAGGATCAAATTCCTTCACTGGCATAATGGTAACTAAATTGTCATTCTGAGTGGAAAAAAAATTGAGAAGTTGGTAGGGAAGTCCGTGTAAGCAAAATGACTTGAACCTGTAATTGTCTCAGATGGATCCTTGGTGTGCCCTCCGATAGATAAAATTTTGTCACCCCAAGGAATCTGCAATGATTAACAAGCGACCATGAAAATTCCTATTACATAGTCCCTCAACGATTTAGCTATTAGCCATTAACAACTGTAGTTCTTGCAGCGGAGCAATATGTTACCAAGGAATGGCCAGCAGAGGGCGCAACTGAACCAGTGGTTGAGGAATCCAAGGACCCTGCAAGTGCCTTAGCTTCTATTCTTGACCATGTCAAGCTTTTCAAATCCAGAACCTTCGGTAAATAAATATAGACATAGCCATTAAATTCAGACTTAATTAGTAAACATAAGTGAAAATCAGGACAGGTTAGAACAGTTCTACTAATTAAAATAAAACACTTCCAGAAGAAGAAATACAAAAGTAACTAGGAGCTGATCAAACGCAATTGTGCCTACTTGTTTCATCATTATCAACATACCTGGACATCACTAAGGTAACGACCATTGTGATTTCCACCAAAGATATACATTTTTTCTTGTAGAACAGCTGCTCCATGCTGCAAATAGATGTCAGACACAATTTGGTTGTCAATGGAATAAGAATAATTTCACTGCTTCAATATAAAATTAATCAAAGAATAGAGAGAACACCGCATAACGAGGCTTAGGGCGTTGTCCAGATACTGATGGAGCAACCCATTGATCATATATACTGACTAAGCCAAGACCCTCCATTACAACATCCTTGTCCTGTGTCTCCAACAGAAGTCCATTTTCTGTTGAAATAGTTTTTGTCTCAGGTAAGGAGTCTCCATTTTCCGATGCTGACACAGTAGCTGGCTCAACTTTTGGTTTCTAAGAAGGTAAATTAACAGGATAAGAACGGATGATGATAATTCATATACAAGTCAAAGAAAACATTTATTCTCAAACATAATTAGATCAAAATAGTTATTTAAATTATCCTTACTAGGCAAGGACACAAAGATATATGTCTATATTGGTGAAGATAGCACTTGTATGATATTAGAGCTTGAAATTAAACAAGCTAGATCAACAGGAAGACTAAACTACCAAATCATGATTGTGGACTCAGATTCCATAGTATTGCATTTAAAGCCATAGAACAATGCACCGTCACAAAAAGAAACATAAAGTATTTACTATTTACCTATTCATCCTTGAGATCCCATTCTGTGGCAAGTGCAAATGAGCCGTGATGGTGTTTGTTCGGTCGTCAAATTTTTTGCATCCAATTCAACCGTAGTTTGGCCAATCTTGCACCCAATTCCAAATATTTCTTTCTTCACTGTTCCAAAGCCTTTCTTCAAGCCCTTAATCATTTTAAGCTGATTACTTCATCATTTTTTTCTTATTGTTCCAAAACATTGGATATTTGAGACATCTTGATAGGATATATTATCTCCATTCGACTAATTTATGGAATCTGACCTTGCTAACAATTCATTATGTCTATCGATATGTATAATACATGAGATTTGCATCTTCCAAATATTGTCAGTTAGACTTTGACAAGTTTTGGACTTACTACCAAGTGAAAGGGCTACACAACATCTGAATATATCAAAAACTACTAAGCCTTACCATAAACCTCTTTCATGATTAAGCTTACTTCAAGGCTTCTCAAAGGCTGAATAATCAAGTTCACAAAAAGGAGAGCCAAATAGTTGCATTCTCAATTCAAAGTAGCAAGAATCCTTGGGTGACTGGGATAAACTCTGGAGCGTGTGCTTTTTCATTTTAGGGGATTCAGGACAAAGCGTTTGTTACAACCAGCATAAGTGATAAATGAACTACAGACAAGGAGCTCAAAGCAGTGAAAAAGAAATGGAAAAAAATAATAAATCCCTAATTAGAACAAAGGTTTCATTATCATAGGTACTTGAATCAATCATCCAATGCAAGAGTATCACATGATCCAAGTGGAGTTCAAACAGTGGATGTAAATAGTCTAAAAATACTAAACAATAACAAACAGATGTCTTAATATAAAACAAAATAGCATTCGAAAGATATAATATGCCAGACTCGAAACCTATCAACTTTTTGCACTTCTGTCAACAAGATATTTTTACCTTTCTTTTACTGTTTATGTCAATGAACACTCATGATATGAGCAACAAATGTGCTACACATAATAAATGATCCTTAAGTAGTTGTTAATCACTTGACCGAAATGCATGATTGACTTATAACTTTTAGCAAACAAGAAATAATTCCTAATATACTTACGAGCATTTCAACATCTACAACAGATTCTGCTGCTAGTTCAGGAACCCTTGAATACCAAGCAGGATCCTCTTCCTAATAGAGAAAAAAAATTATTATCAACATACCTTTGTATGACAACTGCAATACTAAGCATACACATACCTCCAAAATTTTCACGAACAGACGCATTGCTTCGGTTGAAGCCATGTTTCCAAGTCCATGCCAACTGATAGCAGAGAAGTTATTAGTCTTAGATATTCAACATAAACAAAAAGTAATGTATAGATCATTCAATTATATCATTGGAAGATTATAATTCAGAGGTAGTAGTACAAGAGTAACCTGACATGCTACTTCTCATACAAAGATGAAGGAATTGATCAAGAAAAAAAAAAGGTGAAAGGAGTTACCTAGTGAGTTTGAGATATATAGAAAGAATAAAAAAGGTACATATCTTGCACCTAAGAATACAACAAGCAGTGATATCCTACCTATATGGAGTTGGAAATATTGATTTTTTCCTACATTTCGACACAATTTAGGGCAATATCACTTGTCAAGCTAAAAGCAATTCCAGCTCTTTTTATTACTTTAGTATTTTTTTCTTGGGTCTCTCTATACCTCCTCAATCAATTCACCTCATCCAACAAGGACATCTATGTCTTCTTTGGAGATATTCATATCATTTTAAATAGTTTCGCCTCACCTTATCTTTTGTTAGATTCACACCTAATTATTCCTAAACATGAACATTTCCTATCAATATTCTCACCTCAGCAACAGTAACCTTTTGTACCTATTATTATCTAACTGATCAACATTCTAAACCATAAAGCACTGCTTATTCCTTGCAACTGCTTTATAAAACTTTCCTTTAGCTAACAGGGAGATGATGATCACGGAGCACGTTGAGCCCCTTTTAGTTTAGTTATCATGTTTAGCTAAGGGTCATTAGCAGGAGCCTTGGTTTACTGGGTACACCCCTTTTTTCTTGTTTAACTCTATAAATAGTATCTTCATAATCTTCCATTCCTGCTCAATTAAAGTCCAAAGTACTAAAACTCTTTTGCACAGGATCATTTAGCCCATCTAAACTATACTTTTAAAGTTTCTCTCTTCAATGCTGAAATTACACCATATATTCACTTTTGCCCCACATTGTCTAAAACATCTAGTTTCTATCATTTGTCTTAGTTACTCAAGTATAGAATCAATCAAACAAATACAAATAACATATAACATACATCATGGAAATTTATACAAAATATGTTTAGTAAGCTCATTTATAACTAAATTGAAAACCTATGGACTTAAACTAAATTCTTGATACACAATTATGGTTATAGAAAACTTGATACATCGAAGTCCTAACACTAGTGACAAACTCCATTGTACACATCTCTTATAACATCAAAACTAGAGGGTATTGGGTGGTAGGCTTACTACCCAAGACACAAAAAAGCTACCTTGAATCAATCAATGAATGATATCCTCTTTTCTAATTTTTCAAAGCTTTCAGCAGCTGCCTTCTTTTATTCTTTGGTTTCCTCCCATTCTCCTCTCTCTCTCTCTCTCTCTCTCTCTCTCTCTCTCTCAATACCGCTCTCCTCTCCTTTGTTTCTTCCTCCTCCCTACCGCCTGGCTGTAGCCACTCCGTTGCATTGTTGCCTTCTCCTCCCTACTGGTACTCCTCATCATTTCACTTTCTTCTTCTCCTCCCTCTCCTCCTCCTCTCTTCTCCTTCTCTGCTGCTCCTCTCTTTTTCCCCTCTTTCTATATGATCCTTATGACTGGTAGGTACACTGATGTACCCTGTGTTGGTACGTTGGTGTGTACTGGACTCAAACTAGTCAAGCCAGTGACCAGTACTTCAAATCTTGCTTAGAGCAAAAGCATCTGTCTTTGATACTGGAGTAGTTTTTCATCATGAAAATGGATTAGAACAGCAATCTCCAATGCAGAATTGGAGAATAAGGATTTAGCCACGCCAGATGCTAACATAAGATAGTAAATAAATAACAAAAAAGATGTTTAACAGGTACGTTTAATGTCACATCTAGTAGCAGGAAATTGTAATATTTTCTTTTCATCAAAATTTAGCAAGCAAATACCCTGCAGATCATGCTCTAAGAAAGTATAACAACTTTGACCTATCAACATATTGTAATAACAAAAAAATCCTATAACACCAACCTCGTCCATTTGCTGTGCTCCACAGGATTCCATGCTCTCGGTTTTGGATCAGTGCAAGGTCCAACGGTTGCCTGCAGCCAGGAAACAAATTCCAAAAGAACTAGGAGGTTAACGATTCAAAGATCTGGTTTGGAAAACTCTTTGTCACGTAGGTCTAACAATTCCCTGACACAGATCCAAAGAAATTTGACGGATCGAACAGATTTTGACTCCCAACGGCAGATCTTCCACGATCAGGATTAGCACAAAGAACATGTCGAACGGACGAAACAGGGGAGCAGATCCGAGCCCTCCCAACCGAAGGAAGACCAAGAAACCCACCGCAATCAACGAAGAAGAATGGACCGACTAGAAATTCCAGAAAAGAGAAGGGCAATCGCGGGCCTGAGACATATCGAGGGAAGAAAGACCGAAGAACCCACGAAAGAAGTTATGCAGATCGACGAGAGGTTCAAGAAACGAAGGAAGGAGCCGTGGATCTCACCTGCTGGTACAGGCCATAGAGCAAGAGGGCGACGTCATTCTGGAACCTAGAGGCGCCCGCCGCTGACGATTGGGGAGATCCGCCGAACCCGGCGTAGGCGGCGGCGGCGTAGAACCTATCGGGGTAAGCAAGGCCGGCCGAAGCCATTCGTCCTCCCCAAAAGGAAAACGCGAGCTTAATTCAAGAAGCGAAAGAAGAGGCGACCGAGGGCGGGGTGGGAGTCTTTATAGAGAAGCCAAGGGCGGAGTCACGCTCTCTATTTCTTAGCGAGGAGTGGGAGAGAGGTCGTCTCGATCTAAAGTCAATTTGCTTGCTTGCCTTCGGTACGATGCTTGGATCGTCTTCACTATGAACTGCGGTAATTTACTCGCTCGGACAAGGGCGAGTAATATAACGTTGGGGAGCGTTACCCCGTGCCGTGACGCCGTTATCGTAATTTCCGTCTGACGGTACGTCATAAGCCGTTATATTTGATCTGTTTACCGTTCAGCCTTGAGCCGGGTGACGTCGGGTCTACACGGACGAACATTGAACCGTAGTTACTCACAAAGGTTTTAACTGTTAATCCAAACCAAGTCCACTGGTGGTCAAATTTACTCAAACCCAAATATCGAATTTGACTCACCAATTTGGTATGGAATATCAAATCTTGTTCCGTAATAACGAAATAACATTACAACAGCAGTAGCCCGTCCGTTGACCATATACCCAAATACATCCATCAAGGCTCACATAAGACTACCGACAGCAAAAAGAGATTGGCTCATACGGCATCCATGGTTCAGTGACCCATGTTAGGTGGTGGCTGTGGAGGTCGAGGAGCTTGACCTTGCATCTGCTGCCCAGGAAAACCTTGCAGAGGAGGGGGAGGGGGAGGGGGAAGTCGAGGGGCTTGAAGACCTTGAAGACCGGGCGTGAAGTTAGCCATTGCGCTGCCACCGATAGGGGGCGGTATCGGCCCGGGAGGGCCATTTGCCACTGGTGGTGGAGGGGGAGGTTGTGATCCCACCATTGCAGATGGTGGAGGCCTTGGAGGATTCATGACTGGAGCAGGAGGGGCGGCAGGTGGAGGTGCTTGGAGCGGTGGCAGTGGTGGCGCTTGAGGTGGAGGTGGCAATGGCCGCGGAGGAACACCCGGAGGTGCAGTACCATTGGCAACAGGAGCAGGTTGTGGTTTATTGGCTTCTGGTGGCTTGATCTTGAAGTATAGTTGCAGCTGTTGAACGAATCAAGATGTTGGACATTATCTTCAGTTGATTACTCAAACAAATGGACAAAAATCAAGCACAAAGGATATCAGATTGTTAATCTAACCGTAAACATTTTTAGGTCTGGATCCCAATGGGAGAAGAATTTGGGTGTTGATTTATCAATTTCTGTGCTTGGGACCTGATAAGGAACAAATAAGCACACAAAATAAATCTGGTGAGGAACAAATAAACACAAAAGAAAAATGTTGTTGAACATAGAGAGAAATGTGCTGGAGAAGAAACCTTGAAGGCAATGATCTCATATGGTTCAGCTGCAAGTAGTAGATACTGGTATCGCTTATCACATGCTTCAATCCTCTGTCAATGACAAACTGATGAGCCTAAATCACGCTTGCTAAAAGAAGTGAATATAATTGAAATGAAAAGAGAAAAAAAAACATCAAGGAAAAACAAAATGATAGGCATAAATATTTAGCAACCATATAGTGTAAGCAAACATCTGCTTCTACTGATATTGGGTAGCACTTGCCTGCTCAAAGGATGACATAAACCTGTGCCTTGGCTTACTGTTATCTTCAATTTCAGGATACTCGATCTGCAGAAAATTCAGAACAAAAGCTTCAAATCAAGAGATTAAAAGAAACCACCAATGTAGATAATTATAAGCAAAAGGAGCATGGTGTTTTAGGTGATATATTTGATGTTTGCTTTTATTATTATTCAAGATCAACAATCTATTGTTTAGACACTTGCATTTACTATAATCAAAGCTTTCAATTTCGAATAATACCGCCCAACATGAGTGGTACGTACCGGTCCATCAGCAGACCGGTACACGGATCACCCGTTACCGGGCGGTATATATATATATAAGGCGACGTCGCGTTGCCTCAGCAACGTCGCCTTTCCCTTCTCCCACACGGGGCGAGGCGACGTCGCCTTTTATAAAAATATTTTTATATAAAAAAAATCTTTTATATATATATATATATATATATATATATATATATATATATATATATATATATATATATATATATATATATATACGTCCCTTGTTTTTCTGTGACGTCGCCCCGTGGGGAGAAGAGAGAGGAGTGACGTTGCCAAATATTTATTTTATTATATATATATATACACCAAACGATATACCGCTCGGTATACAGTACCGTACCATACCGAACGAACGTCGAAACTCCGATACGGTACGATATTTTAATCCTTTTTACAACATGTTATCATTTGATATATGGTATGCTTTAGGATATCTATTATAATTTTACTCTAACTAAACTACACTAATTAATATCTTCTCCAATGAAATTCACCTGCACAAAAAATACATAAATTATTTTATTAAAGTTGCATAATGATTAGATATAAAATGTATTGCCTATGCTCATTGACTGGATGAAATTGTAGCAGCTTACAATAACAGAAAAAATTGAGATGCTCTTGGACATGCCATGGTGAGCTATTAAGTTCATCAATGAGAAGGATTAAATAAGTTCATACATTTGGTAGCTCTGAAAGAGTAGATCAAAGATGATCTCATCCAAAACACTGGTGAATGATAATAATGTGTCCTCAGGAATATCAAAAGGTGTTTCCCTCATAAAGCTAAATGATTGGAAAGCATGATACAAGTGACGCCAGTGGTGGAACTGAAGTTTCGATGTAGTAAAAAAGAAGAATATACTGTTAAAAGATTGTAATAAATATTGTACTCTTTACACTGCCTGTATCACCGAAATTGGTGCACAAACATCCATGCCCGTCCTACACACCAACAAGACCAGTACCAGTCTGATCCTATTGTGCTGTGTCTTCGCACATGATTGAGCATGAGTTGCATCATCATAGGTCAGAATAGCACCTTATTCTACCACCCTAGGGTCAACATTTAGTCAACACAAAATCAATTAGTAATCCAAAATGATAGGGCTGCCAAAGCATCATGGAGAAACCCTGATATAGAACAGGGAAGTAGAGAAAAAGAGGGGAAGAGAAAGAAAGAGAAGTGTGAGATAAGAGAGTAAGAGACTAGAGAAGATGCAATTCTTTTCATTCAAATCAGAAAAAATGCTTGATCCAACGACAAGCTCCACTATATATAGGGGTTTAGGAGCCTTGACACAATTGATGAAGATAATGATTCCCAAAAATAATCTCCTAAGGAATTAGTATGTCTTTTAGAAATCTAAAATGTGACTTCTAAGATCCCTAAATAGTAAATGAGTGCACTTAATACAAAAGGAGTCCCTAGAAAAACCAAAAAAATATTTTATTTAATTTTCAACACAACTCTTAGAATTTCTATGCCAACTAATTGATAATTTTTTGTTGATTTCTTTACGTAGAATAAACTTTTGTAAAATCCTTTGTAAAGCTAAATGGTTCTCCATCATTCTCCTCCGATAGAAAAGAACTCGACCCCGAAAAGTGATCTGCAAGGTACTGGTCCAATAAGTCTGGTGCAAGTCATAAAGTTCCTCAAAAGTAATCGAAGTGGCATCGAAAAGTGTTAATGCTGGTAGCAGACGTAACAAGGCGATCATCAAGAATGGTCTCTACGCCATCGCTATGTTGTGGGAGAATCGGTACTTTAAGAGGATTGCCACTTACAAGAACACCGATAGACAAAGGAAACTCAAAAGTACCATGATATGGAATTAAATCCTCCACTTTGAAAACTAAACTAATATTTAAGTTGGAAGGCAAATCAAGCACATATGCATTAGCTCCCAATTTTTGGATAATGGGGAAAGGGCAAATGACTCAGGCATATAACTTTTTGTATGAGTTTTTAAGGAATCTCTCAGGGTGAACGTGAACCAAGACATAATCATCAACTAAAGACTCTTGACTTCTACGATGTGCATTGGTAACAAGTTTGTAACTTTCATTATTTAAGATAATTTTATATTAAATCTCAGCATGCAAATCATAAATATGTTAAGCGAAGGAGTGGGTTGGTTCTGAGGCACGATAGTTAAGTGAAAGAGGTGTAAGGTCAATAAGGGTGTGAGGCGTATAACCGAGGACAATTTAAAATGGGCTTTTTCCAGTGGAGTAATTGACTGAGTTATTGTATGCAAATTCTGTAGTGGATAAGGTTAGTCCCAGTTTCCATATTTCTCCCCAATTAAGCATCTAAGAAGATTTCCCAAGGAACAATTAACAAACTCAGTTTAACCATCAGTCTGGGGGTGAAAGGCTGAAGAGAACTTCAATGTTGTGCCAAACAGTTTCCACAAAGTTTTTCAAAAGAAGCTAACAAATTTTACATCCCTATCAAACACCGTTGTTAAATGCAAGCCACGTAATTTAGCCAATTCTTGAAAAAAAATAATTTAGCAATGTGTGAGGCATCGTTTGTCTTGTTACATCGGATGGGTTGTTTTTTAAAATTGATCAATAATAATCAAAATAGAGTAATGGCCACCGGCTATTTTGAGAAGTCCAAGGACAAAATCTACACTCACATCTTGCCATGGTGAATGCGGAATAAGTAATGGGGTATACAGGCCAGTATTGTATTTATGAGTTTCAGCAATTTGACAAGTGTGACACTATGACACCACTCGAGCAACATCTCGCTTTAAGGAAGGTTAGTAAAATCTATCCTCAATTAATGCAATGGTCTTGTCTCAGCCTAGGTGACCTGCTAATCCACCCACACGTATTTTCCAAACAAGTCTCAAAGAGAGGATTGGGAAACACACAATCTAGTAGATCGAAAACGGTAACTATCCTAGAGAATGAAGTTCATATGCTCACGATGGTTTCCATCGTTCACTTCCCGATATATGTCATTAAAGTCTGGACATTTAGTATACTCTTCTTTTAATTGCTAGAATCCTACGACCTTGAGACTCATGGTAGATAGGATTGTAGAAATTCTACTAAGGACATCAGCAGCTTTGTTTTGAGTGCCAGAACAATGCTTAATTATAAGAGTATTCGTTGGGAAACTCAACCCACTTGACATGTCGAGCATTTAACTTCTTTTAGACATTTAAGCACATTAGGATCTGGTGGTCAAACAACAAGACAAACTTTTGTGGCAAAAAGTAATATTATCAATACCTAAGATATGGCATAATCGTGTAGAATTCTTTGTCGT